TATATAACTAGTTGTTTGGGGGTGCGGTGGTGGGGGAGATTTTAGAAGTCTGGGAAAGTCTAGAAAGTCACTCATTCTCTCAACTGATCCTCTCATTTTATTTTGGCCTTAGTCCTGGTGCCAGTGTGTGGGGTTTTCCCCCACTTCACTGGCATCTCAGTGCCTTATGGTGGAGTTAAGAGGGGCTCAGAATATGGGTGCAGCCTATTTCCCTGTCCCTTTGTCCATGGTTTGCTGCTGATAGAGCATTACTAAATTCTGAGCTCCCCCATAATTGCACTCTGAGAACTAAGCTACACCTCAGTTAGTTAATTTGGGCTCATCTGCTCAATTACACATTTGAATTCTGAAGTCTAACCTCTCTTTCTAATTAATGAGTCTGGGAGTTTCTGCCCCCACCTATCTTTTAGTGAATTAATTTTGAGTCTCCCACATTTATTAAATTCTGGCATGTTCCTGCCCTTCAGTTATTGGATTCTGGGTTTCCTTCCCTCCTACCATGAAGTAATTTCCCCCCTTCTTTGCAGAGCTTCTCTGGAGGCAACAGGTATCAATAATTCACTAATTCTCACCAATCTGTCTCCCCTTTCACTTACTGAATTTCAATCCATTCTCCTTGCTCACCCGTCATACTCTTCCATTAACTTCCATCCCAGTTTCCCCCTCTTTCTCCCCTGCCAGCCCTCAGTACCTCTCTACCCTGTCCTATACCGCTCATTTTCCTTCTGCAATCTACTGCTTCCAGTTCATTTCTGTCTTGTGGCCTCTGCTTTCTGGGCATCAGGAGTAAGGGGTATTGTTACAGTTTTCATGAGAGAAACTCCCTGTTCTCAGATCCAGAATCCAGACCCCCCTCCACCACCACCACCACCACAGCAACCCAGTCAGGAAAGTACAGGGAAGATTCTTTGTAGCCCCGAGCTGAAGTACGGTCAGTGTCAATGGACGTTTTTTTACATTTTTAGCAGCTGAAATCCATGAAGTTCCAACTGAGCATGTGCAAATGATAACTATTTCAAATGCTTATAAGTTGACAATATTTGGGCAGATTTTCATAGGGACAGCAAAAGGCTGATTGTTGACATAGAGGCCTCTCTCCTCCCACATTTCTGGTGTATAGAAAAGGGCTCCAGAATTGTTTTATCATGGGTAAAATGTTTAGCATCTTTTTTCTATAAAAGACTGAACTGTTTTAGAAAATTTTGGCCCAGTTAAGATTTTACGAAGTTATGAGGAACTAAAACCAGTGACTTGTAATGGGAAGTGTTAGACAATTTTAATAGGTAGTATTACCCTGGGATGCAGTAATGATTAAATTTAGTCTTCTAATTGGAATTTAAGGGGCTCGCTCTGACTTTCTGAGATCTAAAATGTCCCAAGTCCCCAGAAGAAGGGAACGCCCGAAGCTGTATCTATCACCGGTGGTTCTCGCAGTAAATAACAGCTGGACTCGAAATATGGGGCCAAACCATATATTATAAATTATCTGAAATAACAGCCAGTAAGATACCAATGTTGAACAATACAGATCCCTCCCTAACCCAGAAGCAAAAGAAGACAGTAAATCCCTGATACAGAAGGTATATACATTACAATAGATTGAATGTAGGCAGCTGGTACTCACAACCTCAGAGCTTTGGCTAATTGTAAGTCGCAGCAGAGGAGCAGTGAGGAGATCCCACGACAGCAGAATACAGGCTCTTCAGCTCTGGTCTGGTCAACGAGGATTCCAAGTGGGCAGTAGCTCCTGGACTCTGAGGTGAAGAACCTTCCATTCTCCAGTTATAATCCAATGTACCCAGATCTTCACTGTCTCGGTATGATCACTGACAAGGGACTTTTCCACAAGCAGCTAACTCGAAGACAGCATGTAGCCCACAACGGCACTAATCCAATCTCTCACTCACTCATGACAAACAGGAATGACAGACAATCCATTCACTTGGACCCAACCCTAAGGACAGATGTAGCTCAAGGAATGAACCTGAAGGGCGGAACCCGAACTGGGCTTCAACGGGGTTTTTATTAACCTTAAGGCGGGAAAAGATATATAAGGGCTGAATGCATAATAGTGCTGAGTGCAAAAGGGGGCTGAGTGCAATCCTGAGCAGGGTGCACAGCTCCTAGGGCTGTGTGCAGAGAAGCACCTAAGCACCTAGTGCAAATCTGTGATGAGTCGAAAGCAAGGCGGGAAACCCTTCTTGACAGGAATCTAAAATGGCATCCCACAGACTCCATTTTGAAAGAATAACTAAACGTTAAAGCCCAATCATACTTATCATACTTCTAGGTATAAAAGTAGTACTACTAGAATTTTTCCCATTTAGTGCTAATTAGAGTTGTCTATGTGCTTTGAAGGGTGGAATATTGCATTGTTTATACAATTATTTTATTATATTATGGCTAATTTCTTCTTGGCATTTTCCTGGTCCTTCTCTGATTTTTTTGGGAGGGGGGGGGGATCAATACAGTTAAAGTTAGACTCATGACTAGTTTTTGCAAGCACAGCACTGGATCTGCCAATTTTACTTTAAAGGTAAATGACAATGTCAATATGAAAGTGTACAGTGTTAATTGATGCAATAAATTGCTTCCCTTGGCCAATAAGATACTGCTATTTCTTTAACAGCAACATACTTGCTACAGACTCTGCAACAGATTTGCCAATGTGTATATTCACACAAGCTTGGTTTTTTTTATAAGAAAAGTGCAAAGTACGGTCTAGATGAAAAGAATAGGTTAATACTCTTTCACCACCCATTCTCATAAGATGAAAAAAAAAATAAGGCCGTGCATTTTTGACAGAAAATAAATTCTGTGGACAATTCTGCAGCTCTTGACTTGACACATTTGTATATTGTTTCTCAGCTACAAGGAAATAAATTCAGATGGCCATTGGACAATATGGCGACTGTTGTGAAAACTGAACATCTGTTCTGTACTATTTATACACTGGTCTAAAATATGTTTCTCTTCACTTGAAGGTAACTGAGCTTCACAACATCAGAAACATAACCAGACTGCCTAGAGAGACAAAGAAGCATGCAGTGGCAATTATTTTTCATGATGAGACATCAAAGACATTTGCCTGTGAGTCAGGTAAGCAATTACTACCACATCTCCAGCTTCAGGAAATCGAGCTGTATATGAAACTATGGCTCAGACGGATTAAGATACAACAATAAATAGTAAGCTTTATCTTAAGGAGGATGTGTTGTACTTTTTAAAGTAAGCAGTACTGGAAGTTTTGATTGTGGTTATTTACAGAGATACTGATGATGGCTTATTACTTGTCTTTGTTTGGGTTTTGCCTCCAGATGGTCCAAAGACTCTTGAGGTTTTCAGCTAAGCTTGTAGAACAAATAAAAATGCCTATGGGACATTATTAAGGCAAGCAGCAACATGGATTCTGTTTTTTGCTAAGTGTTGCTGTAGCTGTTTGCTAAGGGAGCAATGCTGTCACTGTGAAAGAGGCAAAAAACAACTAAAATCTCAGGACACTTTAACACTTAACTTCAAGCAATTTGTGTCTTGAACAGTTACCTAACACGACATATTAGTAAAGTTCTGAGTGTATGGGTGTCATGGTCCATAAAATCACTAGTGAGACTCTGAATGCTTGGTATTTTTAAAGTCCACTAGTTTTCTTGTTTGGAAACTACATAAGCATGTGATTATATCCATTAGTGCATTGAACTTGTTAAGTAATTATTTGTCTTTAAAGTTGTTCATTTATTGTTATTTTGACAACACACTTTTATAGAAGTGTGTACTAGATTGTTTAAAGCTATACATTTCCTTAATTATTATTAAACAATAATATACAGTGCCATGGATGCATACAATAGGCTCAGAGCATTATAGACAAATAAAATGACATTCTGTAAGCGCAGACAGTCTAAAATAGATGACATACCACAAAGGATAACAATAAATATTGGAAAGAGAGATGTCAAAATGAGGATTAAAATAGTGCTATATCATTGGGCATGCACACTTAGGCTCCAGTCATGCAAACTGTTATCTATGTGCTTAATTCCATTCATATGAGCAGTATCTGCAAGGTTACTCAAAATCAAATGGATAACCTGGCAGAAAAGTGAATTTTGAAGTAAAAGGGAAAAATGTAATGGCTTTCTAGGATCCAGTTCAGGAGTACCACCATCAAAGGTAGATATGCGGTATGTGTCAATGAGTCTACTAGTTTTATTTATCTATTTTAGAGTTTAAAAATAATCAACACGCGTCCCAAGTGCTAGGTACCCTAACATAATCATGTATTAAATGCAATTACATTAAATATCAGCGACATTAAAATCAATTCCACAGGAATTTAGTTCTTTTATTCTCTTCTGCAGCTAGGAAGCATGCCCTGTGGAGAAATGGGAAACCAATGGTTTATTACTATGGCGGAAAAGTTTCCTCTTCTTTTATCTTGTTATCATTGGGATGTGAAGGAGAAAATGTGTTTCTTGAAACCTAAGAAGCAATTCAGTGACAGGCAAAAAGTCGTGAATTGAACTATCGGGGACTATCAACCTGTGAACTGAGATATAGAATCATGCAATAAAGTCCATTTTGTCAACTTTATAATTATTAATAGTAAACTTACCCAGCATTGCCTGAGTTCCTCAGCACAGGGGACTGGCAGTGTCGGGGGAGGGGTACAGGACTCAGGATAGGATCTTGGGAATGTGAGGTAGGGGGTGCAGGAGGCTGAGCGCAGGGGGGTGAGAGTGAGGACTGGGGAATGAAGAGGGGCTTTGGAGGGAGGGGTCCCATCTAGCATGGGCCTTTTCTTTCTCCCCTACAGCTTGATCCCTAGCCTTCCTTCTCCCCCTTCCCCCCCCCAACCCCGGCGCAGCCACCAGGGCATTTTTCCTCTCCCTCCCCTTGCCCACCTCACCCACCAGAAGCCTTTTTTCTCCCCGCCCCTCCCCAGTGCTGTGACCAAGGACCAGGATGGGGGAGAAAGGGTTTGGGGCAGGGAGGCTACATGACTTGGTGTGCTCACAGGCAAGATGGCAGAGCCCCAGCTCTGCTGGCCACTCCCTTGGTGGTACGGCTTCCCCCAGTGGCCACTGCAGCAGGCTCACCTCTCTCAGTGGCCACTGTCAGTATTGTATCCCTCGAAACAGCCCAGCCCCTCCCTTTTCATGTTATGGAAAACAGTCCTTTCTCAGGGCTTCCAGTTGTCCTGGCACAATCAAAACCTGACATTGATTTAAGTTAGGAGAAGAGGGGGCTGCATACCAAATTTGATAGCCCTAGTCCTTACTATTTAGAAGAGACATTATGAAGGCAAGCAAATGGACTTGCAGACAGAAACACTCTAAATAATCGAGGGACAGGGAGAAGTTGGCCCTGGTGAGTGTGGGTGGGGCCTGAGGGGGGAGACCTTGAGGGAGAGACCTGGGATGGGGAGACAGGAAGTCTTTGGGCTCCAACTTCCTGCATCCTTCACATCCTCAAGGCCCTCCCCTGATGGACCTGAACTGGGTAAGTTTGCTATTGTGTATATATAGAGAAATGGATGTGTATCTGCATGGGCTACACTAGAGGGAAAACTATAGCAGTTTTCTTCAGGAACTGAAATCACTGGGGAATCATTAATGTGTTATTTACTTATGCTAAACTATCTGTATCATTGTCTGTTTAGCTGTCTACTTTTCCCAGAGCTGAAGAAAAGCTCTGTGTTGCTTGAGAGCTTGTTTTTACCAACAAAAATTGTTCCAAAATTTTGTTACCTCACCCACCTTGTGTCTCTGTCAAAATAACATTTATGGAACCAAACATTTTAACTATATTACACATAGTAGTGATTAGTGGCTCTCTTCTGAGAGGTGCCCATGTGTCAGCCATGGCATCCTGGGAATTATGCTACCTGCCAGTAGCCTATATCCGAGATGTTACCCCATGCTACTCATCCCTGTGTGCACTAACAATACTGAGAGATATGACACTGAAAAAATAAGTTCTTCTTCGAGTGCTTGCTCATGTCCATTCTGATTAAGTGTACGCGCGCCGCGTGCACGGATTCCGGAGCTTTTTTCCCTTAGCAGTATCCATAGGGCCAGCAGGGAGCCCCCTGGAGTGGTGCCGGTATACCGGTGCATATATACCCCTGCTGGCCCTCTCACCTCCTCAGTTCCTTCTTACCGCCCCTGACGGTAGCTGGAGCATGCTTCAGGCTGATAGCCTATCTCTAGTTGAAGTTTTTATCTAGTTAAGTAGTTGTTAAGTGTTGTAAATATTTAGTTAGATAGGGGAGCAATGGAACCCTCCCACGAGGGGAGGGCATGCCAGGGCCCCAGGGCTTTAAACCCTCTGCTTCCTGCTCCAAACCTATGCCCTGCGGAGATCCCCACTCCGACTGCCTAAAGTGTCTGGGTGAGGCCCATCAAGCTGAAAGCTGCTCTATCTGTAAGAGCTTTAAGCCCCGGACCAAGAAGGAGAGGGACTCCCGGCTGAAACTCCTGCAAATGGAGTCGGAACTGCAGCCTCAGAGCGAGGAGCGGCCTCACTCTGCCCGCAGCGCACCGTCGGCGGCACCCCCGTCGGACAACAAGGCACCGAGGCACAGATCGCAGTCCCCGGTGCCGAGGGCCTCCAAGAGCTCGAGGGGACGCTCAGCAGAGAGGAATGCCCAGAAGGTTCACCCTAAGGAGGGGCACCTTTCTTCTAAGTCCTCTAAAAAGAGGCGCAGCCAGGACAAGGGCAAGAGCGCGGGGCAGCCCGTGTGGCTAGGAGAGGTCCGTCGGCCCTCAATCCAGAAACTTTTGAGGCGGCCCAGGACCTCATTCACATGGCTGTGGATGAAGGGGAGGGCCCGGTGCCGCAGGAGCAGACCGCGCCGGCACCGGCCTTAAGTGCCCCCCAGCAGGCTATGGCCGAGTCGTGGGACCCGCTGGGCGAAGGGCAGGCCTCGGCCCAGTAGCAGTTTTTCCCAGTGCCGGGAAGAACACTGGCACCGGAGCCGGGAAGGACGCCGGCACCGACCCCGGACCCCTTTCCGATGGCACTGTCAGCAGCACCAGGAGCAAGTGCGCTTGCGGCGCCAACGGCATCGGCACCGGTGCAGGGTCCGGTGCCGCAGATGGCCCCCTGGGCAGTGCAGGGCCCCGCACCGTACTATGCGCCATCCGCGCCCCGCACGGCTCCTCCATTCAAGCCCCCGTGCTTACACCTTGGGAGCGCAGCAGCAGGGCGCGGCACCGCTGCACATGATGGCACCGGAGGGTTATGTACCGGCCTATCAGATGCAGCCAAGTCGGTGGCATCGGCCAGGTCTTCATATAGGTCACGGCCCCGTCATAGGTCCCGCTCATTGGTCAGATCATCTCACCGGGAGCCGGTGGACCAGCAACAGTGGCAGGGGCAACCCCAGTGGGCTTTCTGGACGCTCTGGGCATACCACCAGGCCCAGGGGCCTCCCCCTATGGGGCCGGTAGCGGGGTCGTCCCGAAGGAGTAGCACCCCGTCTGCCACCCCCTTGACAGCTCCCCTGCCTGGAGACAGCTCGTTATTAGTCAGGGGTGGGGAGCTACGTCCCAGCCGGGCGCAACCTATGTGGACATCTCTGCCCAGGGGGGCACAGATAGCTGAGGAAGAGGCAATTCCCTCCAGGGAGTTCTCGTCATCTTCACCAGACGAGGCCCTGGCCGACCCCGCGCCCCAGCCCCCGTCGATGGACTCCAGGGCGCACCAGGAGCTGCTCCGAAGGCTGGCGGTCAATCTGGCGGTCCAGCACGAGGAAGTTCACGAGGACCTAGATCCTATGGTGGACATCATAGCGGCAGCGGGCCCTGGTCGAGTGGCACTCCCACTGAATAAAACGGTGGACAAGCTGTCTAAAACTCTGTGGCAGACGCCAGCTTCTATCGCACTGACCCAGAAGGGGGTCGAGAGAAGGTACTATGTACCCCAGGAGGGGCACGAGCATCTTTTTACCCACCCGGCTCCGGGATCCATAGTGGTTCAGGCCGCTGGGCAGAAGGAGCGCCAAGGGCCTCCAGGTCCTACTCCGAAGGCGAAGGAGCCCAGGAGATTGGACCTACTTGGCCGGAAGGCCTACGCCACGGGGGGCCTCCAGCTACGTA